ACCACTTTTCCGATTGATCACTAAAACTCCAATCACGAGAAAGAAAAAATAAGTTTTACTTCCATCAAGGGCTTCAACGATCGCTCTATATGACAACTTCTTGTTTGGTTGATGAAATCGACCGTCAGCAACCAATTTTTGATTGCAAAAGGTTATAAAATATTAGGAGAGTGTTTGGTGGGAATTAAAATTTGATTTTTAATAGATTGTGATAGAAAATTTTGAAATGTGTAGTTGAAAAATTGGGGATCCCATGAAAGATGTTGTCAATGTTGATTTTTTGACTTTAATTAGAATTAAAATCAGATTTTAATTTAGACCAAACAGGGGCTAGTTTTCTCTTGACGAGCCAAAATCATTACCAACCAATATGGACAATTCTTGTGGTACATTATGGGATCCATAAGGGTCTACATAATGGACACTTTGCGGCCTACAATTGGTTGGAGTGCCGGTCCCATAGACACTCCCATCAATTGTAAGGCGCAATGTGTCCATTATGGATCTCATAATGTACCACAAGAATTTTCCAACCAATATTTGGTCATTAAAAGTGTCTTATAACAACAAAGCACTAAATCTTTGGTCGATGGAGTCCATATTTTTCTTAGTATTTCCAATTTCATCATTTATTCTTGATTTAATACATAGACAACTATATTTATATTCCTATGGTATTCTCCTATTTACATACACAAATACATGTACTTTTGCATCCACATATCTTACATATATATAATAAATTATTATATTGCTATGAGATCATCACCAATCTTATCTTAGTTGCAACGTGTCCAAACAATTTGTTGTAACATAATGGGTCGAATAACTTGTTTCCATTACAATTTTGATAGATGGAAATTGAGCATATGTTTGGTCTGGATTAAAATCTGATTTTAATCCAAGTCAAAGTCAAGCAGTCAATATTAACCACATCTTTCATGGGTCCCACAACTTTTCAACCACAATTTTAAAAACTTTTATCACAATTTACTAAAAATCTAATTTTAATCACTACCAAACACCCTCTAAGT